AGATAGATAGATAGATAGATAGATAGATAGATAGATAGATAGATAGATAGAGGGCAGTAATCTGGAAATTTTACAAAAGACCTGGATCTAGTTTTCTTTCCTATTCTGCTAATGGAATTATGTTCTGTGAGTCCTTTCATGGGACTGTTAGTGGGGAAACATGGTTTTACTTGGGCAGCTATTCCTCCAGTAATTTTTTTCTGAGGCTGTATAACAGAGATGGGTTTTATCATACTAATTCATCTTTTTTTTTTTAATTTATAGGCGTATGTTTAGAAATGAGCTGTCAGCGCATTCCAAAGCCAATGGTTATTCTGCCCTTCATGAAATATGGTGATTTGCATACCTATCTGCTTTATTCACGATTGGAAACAGGACCAAAGGTAGTTGTCACTTCTATGGTCATTTAACCACCACAGGGCCCTAAACAGTCTTTCTCCATTCCTGGCCAGGAGTCTCTGATTTCTATATTTTAAGTTGTTGTCTAGAAATCCAGATATCATTCTTAGACACCATCTTCTTAACTTAATGAAGGTTCCTGTGAGTAGTCATGAAAGATTATTATCCTCTGCTTCTAACAATTGAGGTTAAGAGAATATTCTGCAAAGCCTGAGATCAGTGTCTTATATATTCAAAACTTCGGTTAATCTACTGTAGAAAATGCCAGGATAGGCAATAATAATTATAATAATTATGATAGCTGGATTTATATAGAACTCTAAGGTTTGCAAGACACTTTACAAATATTATCACATTTTATCCTCACAGCAATCCTGGGGGAGGGGGTAGGTGCTATTTTTATTCCGTTTTAAAGATGAGGAAACTGAGGTAAATAGAGGCTAAGTGACTTGCCAAGGGTGACACAGCTAGTAAGTGTCTGAGTCAGGATTTGAACTCAGGATTTCCTGATTCTGTATTCAGAGCTCTATCCATTATGCCATATAGCTACTTCCAAGCAAGTAGCAAGTGACAGTAAACTTAATACTGCCAAATCTTGCCTCTCCTTTATTTTCCCAAGGAAAGTCACATTCTTCTCTTTTTCTCTTGACTCTTCTCCTCAGGACTAATGGGATAGTTATTTTATTTCCTCAAAAAATTATTTTTTGTCCTCATACCACACAAGACCTTGGATAAATATAGAAAATACTACTAGATCCCAGAGCTTATGACTATATATTATTGTGAATTTCTTCCAGGAAGTAATACATAATGGAACTAAGTGAAAAGTTCTAAGTTAAGGGATGTTGTCTTATTAATGGCCATGGTTTCTGGCCCATCTAGATTCCAAAATTTTGTGAAGATAGCACTTCCTTCCAGGAAATGGAGAGTAAATAAAATAATATATCCAGCGTCAATTCCTCCCCCGAGTTCAATCCTGACATTTCCATTGTTCTGCTACATATCTCCATCTGGGTGTCCTGCTGGTCCCTCAAACTTGGCATGTCTCAAAGTGAGCCCGTCATCTTATCCGCCTCCCCCTGCAAATCCCCTCTTCCCCATTTCTCTTGATGCTGATGGGTTTATCAGCATCCCACTTCCCCACACTTGAAACCTCAGGGTTGTGTTTGACTTTTCTTCCTTCTCCCTTAATCATTCATATAGTCAGTTTCAAGCCCTAATGCTTCTGTCTTACCAGTGTCAATACCATCTATCCTATCTTCTTCATTCACATGGCTACCACTATAGATTAGGCTTTCCTGGTCACTTAGCTTTATTACTGTAATAACCTCCTAAATGGCTTCCTGTTTCTATTTTCCATTTTCTGTAATCTGTCCTTCATACAGCTAAAATACTCTTTCTGATACACAGAACTGGAGAGGCAACATGGCGGAGTCAGCCTTGAAACAAACAACCTTGGAATTAGGATGACCTGGGTTCAAGTCCTGCCTCTGACATATACTGGTTGTGTGGCCCTGCAGGAGTCCCTTAAATTCTCAGGCAGTTTTCTAAGACTGTAAATTGCAGAGAAGGTACTGATTGGCATTGGTTGAACGAGGTTCATAACTGGGCATTCCCTATATTGATTAAGTTAGTTTTTTTAAAAAAACAATCTAAGGAAGGAAGAATGATGTAAAAGAGTTTGGGCTTGGAGTCAGGTTGTTGAGACTAGGCATTGTTTCATTTTTTGTATTTGTATCGCTGTCTCCTAGCATTGTACTGGCACATATTAGATGCTTAATAAATGTTTATTGATTGCATAATAGAGTTCAAACCCTGGCTCTGAAAGTTACTAGTTCTGTGGCCTTATGCAAGGCTTTTAGTTTTGCTGTAAAATAGGAATATTACTTATAAAACCTAACTCATTGGGTTTTTGTGAGGAAAGATCTCTGTAAACTCTAAATTGTTAAGTAAATGTGAATTATTTCTTGTGTGACTGGTTAAATCATAAGCCTTCTGGACTTCAGTTTTTAATTTCAGTACAATGAAGAAAAGACAATCTCTGAAGTTCCATTCAGCTTTAAATCCTATGATCCTATGTCACTCTCCTCCTCTGAAACCTATGCTTTCCAATTGCCTATAGGATAATGTGAGATTCATTAGAGCAAGGACTTCTTCATTTCTATCTTTATATTCCCAGGTCCTGGAATAGGGCATTACTCAGAATAGGCACTTAGGAAATTATTATTGGATGGAATTGATTGCATTTGATTTCAATCAGATAGTCCTAAGAGAGAAAAGATGCTGGTTTTATTATATTACTACAAAATTCTCTGATAATCAGTAAATCTTGTAGCCTTCATTCTAATCAATCAAGCAAGAAATATTTATTAAACATCTATTATGTGTTGAACATAATAAATTCTGTAAGGATGTATGTGGAAAACTTCCAACACTGTGTTAGCTACTCCCCATTTGTGACTCTGAAAATAGGACTAGCTTAGGAAGTGATGAGAAAAGTCATCTTTACTTATGATTAAATTGCTGTCTTCTCTTGTCCATACATATACTGAAAGCAAAAAGACTGGGAAGTTTGGAAGAGAGTTCTGAAGCCTGGCTGGCTATCCAATAGACTCAAGCCAGTATATTGTTGTTGACAAAAAAGGACAGCTTGTGTCACCATTGGTCCTTTCCCCCTCCCCTATTCTGTAATTCAAACCAATTACCTAAATGACACAGGACAGAAAGACGTTTGGAAAAGTCCTATAACAACAATTTTTAAAGCTTCCTTTTGCTTTTTAATTTATAGGGACAAAATCAACAGGATCAGATTTATTTCTCTCCTTTGACCCAAAGAGACATAGTTGAGTGAAATCTTAGAAATTCCCAAGGTAATATAGGATATGTAGGTTGTGGAGAGAATCAAGCACCAAATACAGCAAACCTGCAGAATTTCATTAAACTCCTAACCTCGTCATGTGAAGATCCCTCTGACAGTACAGTTGTTACCCATCCATGCTCTTTCAATATCCTTCCTAAGTGTTTGCTAGGGCAGTTAGGTGGCACAGTGGATAGAGTGCCAGGCTTGGAGTCAGGAAGACTCATCTTCCTGCGTTCAAATCTGGCCACAGACACTTACTTCCTAGATAGATGACCCTGGGCAAGTCACTTAACCCTGTTTGCCTCAGTTCTTCATCTGTAAAATGAGCTGGAGAAGGAAATGGCGAACCATACCTCCAGTATCTATATATAACCATTGCCAAAAAAAAAAAAAACGAAACAAAACACAACAAATGCACAACCCAAATGGTGTTATGACAAGTCAAACACAACTGAAAAACAACTGGAAAGTCCTTACTAGGTTTGTACTAGGTTTGCTGCAACTTGAACCCCTGGTATTTACCACATTGGCTTTTGCAGTTTTAAATGTATTATAGGACACTGATCTGTGGTTTTACAAGAATACTCTGTTACCACCAACACTAAGATATCCCTGTTCCTCTGCCCCCTCCTCCATCTTACTGGAAACATTCCTTTAGGTTTTTTTAGCAGTCTAGGGGCACCACAGTGTAGTATTGTTATACACAGGCTCTCTTTCTGTTATCCCTTGTTCTTACTAGAGGCTAGACATTTTAACATAACACGGTTATTTTGTAGTTTCTCAAGTATTATTATTATTTGAGGCTACATTTACGATTACTTTGAAAAGATATTAAATGAGTGAAGAGTAAGATATAAAAGGTATTAAGCAGCCAGTGAAGAGAAAGCACGTACCTACTACATTTCTTATGAATTTTCTTACTGTTTACATCTGATCCTCAGAGTTAACCTTTATGAAATTAAATGCCAAAAGTACCCACTATAAATGAAAAAGATATTTATTTCTAATTAGCTGGCAGTTTTCTAGCAACCCTATTGCACATGGATAGATTAGAGTTGAAAGCAATTCATAATAGATACAATATGTGGCTGGTATGTAAAATCGTTCAGCTCGGGTCTGGCTTTGTGGGGAAAGTACTGGCAAACTTATGTTCCATGGAAAGGAAAGTCATGGAAAGTTAACGTCTCCAGGGAATGTGTGTGGGTCACACATTATTAACACCTGGATGGCTGGATGTTTTTGAATATGGATTCCTTTCATTTTGGCTTCAAGTTATGCCTTTGGCAATTCAGTAAATCCTCTATTTCTAAGTTGAAAGTTTTATTTGAATCAGCATCTGACAAACCATATCACACAAATCTTATGTGTGTTTTATAAAGACATGGTAGATTCATCAGGGTTCCAGTTATCTCTAGGGAAACATAATCATAGCATTTTAGAACTGGAAAAGACTTTAGATGTCCACGTGTGCGCAAGCCCCTGATTAATGTGATTTCTACAGCACAGCTAAAATACTGAATTGTAAAACATAGCATTAGGATCCTATGGGGCGGGAGATTGAAAGAAAAACAACCCTTTTATGTGTGTGCATGAAAGTAAGTATTCACGTGTGGGTAGCTATGTTTGGGGAAACTACTTGATGCTGTAGCATGTTTTTGTTTGATGATTTACCATCATCCAGTGGCCAGCCAGCCTGTTAGTAATCAGCTTCTCTGTACTTAGTTAGGCCAGACCTAGTCTGTCCCTGGCACTGTACTCAGAAGTCTTTCCACAGTGGCAAAAATCTGCCAGAGCTTGTGTTCTCCTGGCCTAGTCTTTGAGACAGAAGCCAAGATCACTTCAGGGCTACAATGAGACATCAGAATAGGACTTTTCTCGACATTACACACACACACACACACACACACACACACACACACACACACACAGATATAGAATATATAGGTATGTAATATATTATAAATATATAATATGTAAATATGTTACAAATGTATGATCACACATCTTAACATATAATCATATATTATAAATATGTGTTTATAAATGTTTAATATAGCAGCATGTCTTAATATCAAAATACCAAAAAGTTCATTTGTTTGACCCACAGAACCTGGAGATAGTATTTTTATTCAACTGGCAGCCACCTGACTGAAAATAAGTTTCTAGATGTTTTCAGAGTGTCTGATATAGTACGGAAATGAATCTATTTTTTAAAATTAGGATATACTAGGTATTTTAACTTCTTTTTCCCCCCTTGGATTCCTAATGCTAGTTTCTGGTAGCAAGATTTTACCATTTCCTCTCTGGTAGGAGAGAAACTATTTTTCAACACATTTTAAAGCAAAAGTAAAATAAAACCATGTGGTTTCCAGACATATATAGTTAATTGGAAACAGTGATGTGGATAAGGCTCTCTGACTAGTGAACATCAGATAGGACTCCTAGGAAGCCAGGCAATTTCAAGCTGGATGAATAATGAATTCCATTCTACCAGTATTTTCTTTCTGCTGGCTATTTGGTTACACAGTAACAATGCTATTTTGCCTTCCTGTTTTATGAAGAAAAAACCAAGTGGATATTTATCATGTCTTAATGATGACATGAAAACATTTTTTTTTAAATAAAAGACAGCTTGAGTTTTTTGTTTTGTTTTGTTTTTTGGAAGTCTTATTTATGCTACCAGTAGTATGGAAATTAAGTCTGTCCTTTTAGTTATTGTACTCTTTTAAAAAACAGATACACATACTAACTTTTATTTAGGCAGAACTATGAAAGTGTGGGTGAGGGTTTTTGCTTTTTTTTTTAATGATAAACAAAGCTAGAATATTTCTTAGTTCTTTATTTCTTGTTCCCTCAGCATGTACCCCTGCAGACGCTACTGAAATTCATGGTAGATATTGCATTGGGAATGGAGTATCTGAGCAACAGGAATTTTCTTCATCGAGATCTAGCTGCCCGAAATTGCATGTAAGCATTCTAGTGCCATCTTCATCTTTTAAACTTATCATATTTCTTTATGATTCCTCTGTCACAATAGGAGGGGAAATGATGATTCACTCCACTTTAAAAGTTGTTGGAAGGAGAAAACATCAGTATGCAAGAGAAGATAGATATTTTGTGGTTCAGAGAGTAAACAATACAGGTTAAGTTTTGTATAAGAGCTGGCTTTTACAGAATTGCAGCATCCAAGAGTTAGAAAGAACTGCAGAGATCCCTAAATGGTATTTGTGAAATAATCATAGAACTAGGTCTTTCACACCTCTCTCTTTGTGATTTATCATCTGGGTTTTTTAAGTGACAAATGAGTTAGTACTTTGAGTCTGTTGCTATTGAACTTAAACTTTCTGCCCCTAGGCTGCGGGATGATATGACTGTGTGTGTAGCTGACTTTGGTCTCTCAAAGAAAATTTACAGTGGCGATTATTACCGCCAGGGCCGTATAGCCAAGATGCCTGTGAAGTGGATTGCCATAGAGAGCCTTGCAGATCGTGTTTACACAACCAAAAGTGATGTGGTATGTATGAAATGCTGAAAGAACAGCCAAAATGATGAAAATGACAAGTATAAAAAAAAATGTCAAGCAAACCTTTTTTTTTTTTGCTATTTCAAGTAATTAAAGACTTGAGAATGTGATTTGATCTTTCTATCATGATACCATTAGGTGTTTTAGTTCATAGGAAAAGAAGGCAACATGGCATAAAGTCAAGGACTAAGAGTCAGAAAGACTTGGGTTCAGATCCTGCCTCTGAAACTTACTAGCTGTTTGACCCTGGACAAGTCACTTAACTTCTCTGAGACTCAGGGCTGTTGTGAGGATCAAATGAGATAACAGATGGAAAACAGTTGGCACACTTTAAAGCGCCACATAAATTGTCAACAAAAGCATTATATAAATGGCAGAGTGGATAGAATGCTGGGCCTGGAGTCAAGAAGACCTGGGCAAGTCATATAACCTCTGTCAGTTTCCTCAGCTGTAAAATGGGAATAATTTGTGTAATTCTCAGAGTTATTGGGATGATCAAATGAAATAATTATGTAAAATAGCAGACACTAAATATTTATTACCTCCCTCCTGTATTATAACTTGGCATTCATGAGAACCAAACTTCTTCACTCCAATCACTGACTCTTTATGAATTTATGTATGTCACTTAAAATAAAAAGGTAATGATATTGAATGCTGATAATCTACCTCAGAAATTTTACACAAAGGAGTGAGTTCATCTAAGTAAAATTATTTAGAGACTTCGGAAGAAAGATGCCTATGTCCACATAATGAGTACTATTCCAACTTCATGCCCATGTGATTAAGTTTTCTGGGAAAATCACAAGATGGGAGTTGACAATAACAATGAAAGGGGGCAGTAAACAGAACATTTCTTGGTGAACTGCTTCTGTATCTTTCTTTGCGAGGTTTCCTGGAATAGCTTTATTAAAATTAGTGAGCAGTGAAAGTAGCACCATGTTATTTCCATGTTGTGGGAACATAACATCCTAGATATAATTATCAACATTGTGCATGAACCTCATGTACTACAGGAAAATGACCTTTCCTGATGAAAAGAGTCATTCAGTCTTTCTTGAAATGGTATTCTAATTTGCTATTGCTTTGTCGTAGTGGGCTTTTGGAGTGACCATGTGGGAGATAGCCACCCGAGGGATGACTCCATATCCTGGGGTGCAGAACCATGAAATCTATGACTATCTTATTCATGGACACCGACTGAAGCAGCCTGATGACTGTTTGGATGAACTGTGAGTATTGCTTCTCTTTATTATCTCATGTTTCTGCTCTTGTCTTGAAAGTATTACAGATGATACTGTAAGCTCTTTGAGACTAGGGATTGGGTCATCTTTTTTTTTTTCATTGACATGCAGTGCTTTGCACATGGTAGACACTCCATATGTGTTTGGTTATTAATTGGCTAGCAGAGTCAGCCAGAATTTGAACTTGGAGAGGTAGTTAGCTGCTTAGGGTGGCAAGAGTTAGTGGTGGGTGTAGGTGGGACACAATGAGGAACATTTTTAAATTCTCATTTTTATAAATGCTCGATTTAATGCCAGAAAATTCCAGTTCTCAAGGCACATGAGTACTTGTTTTGATGCTCAAGTGAGCACTTGAAAAGTCAAGTGGCATGTATTAGAGTGAAGGCTCAAAGCACCTAGTAAATAATTAACACATGTCAATGAATTTGTTATCTCAGTGATGTGGGTACCCCTTCCTGTGGCACAGATCAGAGCACATCCATATCATTTATCCTGTGTGAGTCTTGTTCATGCCCTCTCATACATCCTTTTAGAGGGGCAGTCTCCCCAACAAACTAACGGCTTTTTTCTAGGCCTTTTAACATTATGCAAATACTAGTGCAACATATTGTCTATTCATCTTTTTCTCTTACACTCATTACATGGCCAGCCCACCTGCTTTGCTGATCATTTATTTCTGGGATATTTTTTGTGTGCCGCACTAACACAGAGAAGGCAAAATTTTCAGTTAATAGATGGAACTCACACGTATTTCATCCTAATTCTGGGGCCAGCTCTTGACTCTGGTTCTCTTGCTTCCTCAGTCCTATTACCATCTTAATGGCATCATTCTCCTCCTCACTCCCAGCCCCCTATTTATGTGGGAGGGAAACATTTTGTCTGTTTATAGGATGTAAAGCACAAATGGATTCACTAACTTGTTGCAATAATGTCACAGAGAATTAATTTTAATGAGTGTATGTTTTGAGTACAACTCATGTATTTATTGCACTCCTACAAAATGCAAAACACTATAGGATATTGTTAGAGATTACATTAATGAATAAGATAGAATCTGTGCTCTGAAAGAACTTATACTGTAGGAGGGAGAGGTAAGATGAGTGCAAAAATAACTATATAAGACAAGACAATAATAAGTCTAGAAAAGCGATAAAACCATAGTATTCTGGAGGTTCAAAGGAGAGGGGAAAAATCATATCCAGTGATGAAAACTGAAAAAACACTTAAAGAATGATATGGACCTTAAAGGATAAGATAGAATTAGGGACTGGTCCTGTGATTTCACTTATATAGGGAACTTTCTGAATTTTAGGGTGACATCTTATCAACAAGTTTGAGGCCTTAGAGGGTTTCCTAGAGCATTAAGAGGTTAAGTGACTTGCTTGGGATCATGTAGTCAAGATGTGTAAGAGATGGGATTTGAACCCAGGTCTTTCTGGATTAAAGGCCAGTCTTCTACCCACTACACCATTCAGCTTCTTAAAGAATGAATAGAATTTCAACAAAGGGAGAAGGAAAAGGGTGGCATTCTAGCTGGAGGGAATAGCATGAGAAAGAATACAGACTGGAAAGCCAGAGACCCACAAAAGAATTTTTGGGGTTAGTTTGTATGGGTGACCAGCCTAGTACTAAGAAGCTTTATTTTTTTTATCCTGCAGGTATGAAATAATGTGCTCTTGCTGGAGAGTTAGTCCCTTGGACCGACCTACCTTCTCAGAGTTAAAACTCAGACTAGAAAAGCTCTTGGAAAGTTTGCTTGATGGCCAGGAAAAAGCAGATGTAATTTACATCAATACACGGCTGTTGGAGGACTATGAAGGAATGGTAGAGGACCCTGTGTTCACTCAGATGGACATGGACATTGATCCCAATTATATCTTTGCCTCCTGCGCCCCAAAGCCTGACTCTAATGTGGTCACAGTAGAAGTTCATGAGAATCATCTCAATGAAGAAAGATACATCCTGAATGGATTAGGTGAAGAATGGGAAGCTCTTGCTTTGACTGCTCCCACATCAGTGACGCCTGAACAAATGAACACAGTTTTATTGGAGGACAAAGTTTTGAGGAATGGGGCAACATGGTCACAGTCTAGCACTCTGCCCATGGCTAGCACGTTACATGATCAACTGTTGTATGCAGATGATTCCTCAGAAAATGCTGAGGTTTTGATGTGAAAGAGGAATGGCAGCTGGACTTGAGGGGAATGATACGGTTCTGGATGAGAAAGGTCTATAAATATGATTTATTCTCTGGGCTGTTTGTTTTTCACCAAGTAAATGGTCTAGCCCCAAAGTGCCATTTGGATGTTGACTAGTTAAGTGGCCATTAAAAATACATAATATATATTTGTATAAAGAAATATATGTGTATAGAAAGAGAGGCAAAGAGATTATATTTTATTAAAAGATGATCTATTTTATGTCACCATCTCTTGTAGATATGAAAATTTAGGTTTAAATAGTTTCCTTTTGCCAACAGTTTTTTCTGTTCATATCATGTATAAAGGTTTTAAAGAGAAGCTGCTAATGTTTTCCTTTTTTTTCCTTTTTGTAATTTAATAATGAATAAATTTGTACAGTGAAATTTTAACCTTGAGTTTTCTTCTGCTCTCTGTAAAACAATTCCTTCATATTAATCATGCAATTGGCAGTATGTTCCTACTTAGTCCCTGAACTGGCCTTCTTGGTCTGAATTTGTGTATGCTTTTGCCCTATAGTCTCTTTGGCTTTTCCTGGGTTCTCTGAAACATATCTTCTTCCTCATGGCAGAGATGGGGAGGACAGCTAGGTTAGTGTATTTTATGCTTTGCTAGATGTTCTCATTCTCACTATATCTGATGTTTTAGCTTAAGCATTTTTTTTTTGTCACAAAGGAGGGCACAATCTGGAAAGAGGCAGGCTTGAAATGGCTGTTGTAAAGACAAATGGTACCAATAAACAATTTTTTGAAGGATGACTCTCCTTTCTTTATCCCTGGCTACCTTGTTTACTCTTTTAATGACTCTGTCCTTAGACCTAGCTGAGATACCAGGATGCTAATCTCTTATTGGCATATCTTTATTGTTGTTCAGTCATTTGAGTTGTGTCCAACTCTTCATGATCCCATTGGGGGTTTTCTTGGCGAAGATACTGGAGTGATTCACCATTTTCTTCTCCAGTTCATTTTATAGATAAGGAAACTGAAGCAAACAGGGTTAAGTGACTTGCCAACAGTCACACAGCTAATAAATGTCTGACACTGGATTTGCATTTAAGTATGCCTAATCTTTTTCAAGGTTTGGGAACATAAGAATAGATAGTTCCTGCCCCCCCCCAAAGAGTTTCTAATCTACTCATAGAGATGGTGCAACACAAACAAATTTGATACAAATTAAGATTCAATAAATACATCAGAAATATATAAGCAAACTACTATATTGTTCATCATTGGATGAAAGAGAGATTACTTTTGGCTGGTGTGGGCATAGATCAAGGGAAGCTTCTTGAACACAAACTAATTTTGTGACATATTTTTTCCTATTAAACAGAATCCTGGCAGGATGCATTATAATTATTTCATACTATTTGGAGCTGGAAGGAGTCTTAGAAATCATCTAGTCCACCCTCTCATTTTTGAGATGAGGAAATAGGCCTAGAGAGGAGAAGTGACTTGTTCAAAGTTACACATATTCAAGCCCAGGTCTTCTTACTCCAATTCTACCTTCACCTGATCTTGGTTTGAATGTTCAGTCTCAGGAAAGACAATGGTTCTTAGAAATTTCAATTTTGTTAATAGTCAAATTTTTCCATCATTCAAGCCTGCTATGAGCTTGCCTATGTAGTCATCCTTGGCAATAATTAGTTTTCCCCAGGTGACCTTAGATTTTGAAATTGGGTTTTGAGAGGGCTAGATTTACATTATCTCTCCTTTACTTTGTTCCTGCTGGGAAAATAGGTTTCAAGAACCTAAAAATTAAGGATTGAGTAGGTTGGCTTTCTATTATGAATAGAGCTAGACCCCTCTTATTCAAACCAGACTGAGGAGGTGGCTTTCTCTTTTTTTATTTTTTTAAAGGCAATTGGGGTTAAGTGACTTGCCCAGGGTCACACAGCTAGTAAGTGCCTGAGGCCAGATTTGAACTCAGGCCTTCCTGACTCCAAGGCTGGTACTCTATCCACTGCACCATCCAGCTGCCCCTTTTCTGTTCATTAAAAGGGCAGGGTCCCATCAAGTCAAAACTGATTGCTACTGAATATCTTTGGAAAAGGGAAACCACCTCCTGATCTTCAAAACTAGAAGATCCTGAAAATCTGATCAAGTGGGTTAAATGGATCCAAATAATTAGTCTGATCTAAGAAAATGTACTGAGAAAGGAGGAGGCAGACAAGGGTAAATTACATTACAGGGAAAGACACAAAAGCCTATTAGAGCAGAGGGAAAGTAGGGAGGGGGATGAGCATTGTTTGAACCTTACTCTCATCTGAAAGGGAGGAGATGCTGAGGGGCAAGTCTTAGATTTCAGAATATGACGCGATCTCTCCAGAAGGAGCAGTGAGAGCTTCAAGACCAGTGTCTTCTAGGCTCTTTCTCTTAATTTTGCTCTGTTCCTTCAGTTGATCCAGAAGCTTTGGCTTTCCTCTTCCTGTTCTCTTTACCCTGACAATTTTTCCCTCCTATCGAGTAAATAAGAAGAGACCTGGTTCTGCTCTTGGATTCTCTTTCTATGTCCTCTACCTGGGGACCCAGAGAGCAGAGACTTTGTGACCCTGCTCTGTGCCCTGCCTCCCTTCCTTTCCTGTGATTTGCTCTCCTTGTGTCTTGCTCCTCTTCCTGGCCTAGGAGCCTAGGGACACCTTTCAGCTCATCCATAATTCTCAAGTGACCACATGGTAAGTCCCACTGGGCTTAAGAGAAGTAGTGATTGGCAATCTATTGCCAACTTCTTTTCAAGAATATTTGTGTCTTATATTTTTCAGGATAACTGCATATCTTACATATTTAGGATTCATGTTAAAGATTCTATTCTTGCTATAGAGGAGGCATTTTAAATATATTTGTACAGTATAATTATACTGACACCAGAATTTCCATTTATAGTCCATAGACTTGTTAGCTATCAACTTATACTGGATTCACATGTTATTTAACTAAGCATTTCCCCTACTGTTCCTGTACTGGATGAGACTTACTAAATGTCACTTTAGCAAAATTGTGTCTAATTTATGGGGTTCAACTTCCAGGAACTAGCCAATGTCTAGAAGATCCTGAGAATACTGTCCCTAAACAGATGGTATAAGATGTGAGGATAGCGACTATTAAATATCTTCTACTCTTCTTTCTTGAGAATAGTTAGTGAAGAATGCAGGTAGGATCTCCTCAGAGATCTCCCTTTTCCACCCTTTAAGTAGAACCAGAGTAGAAAGTCAAATCCAGTACTGGCTTCTTCCTTTTGAAAGATCTGGGTGAAATAGCAAGAATCCAGAAGACAGCAATAAAAAATGAAAACAGTATATCAGTAAAGTTTAAATAAGTTAGGGGAGAGAGTAAAGGTTGTGTGACACATGGAGTTGTGAAGGGTTATTGTCAGGGGGGATGTCTGGTACAGTGCCATTTCCAGAATAGGTGCTTTAAATGTTGGTAGATGACCAACAAACATACTCTATTCCCAAAGAGGATGAAAGAATATAATTCCACAAAAGTTTTTTGAGTACCCACTATTTAGAGGGGATGTAAAAGTTAAAAACAAGAGTCCTTGACCTCAATGAGCTTATAACCTATGGGATGTGAGGAGAGATACAAAAAATTCACAAATAAGTATAAATGCCAAATAAAGGGGGATAGATACAAAGGAGAACTAACCAGAGTTTTTTAGAAAGGTTTGAGGAGGGAGACAACATTTGTTGGGTAGGGGAGCAGGCATCAGGAAGTAGATCATGGAAGGTAGAAGGAAGTAGATCATGAGCTGAACTCTCAAAGGAGAAGATTCTGAGCAGCAGAAAAGAGTGTATTCTAGGCATGTGGGACAGACTGCACAAATACATAAAGGCAGACAATCAGAGAATAGTAATCCAGTGTCCTAGTCCTCAAAAGTAGTTGCGGGGTTGACAGGATTTCACAAAAGAATCAGAAAGGCCAGAGATACATAAAGCAATATAGCTTTTACTATGGCTATGGAGGGGAAAGCAAAACTCAGAGACAGAAGCAGAGGAAGAGGGACGATGAGGAAAGGATACAACCCAGTCAATTGCTAGTACCTTAGTGATTATACAGTCCACAAGATGTAAATGCTGGGGGGAGGAGTGATGGAGTGGTGGTGGTAAGGTCTTGGGACTCTGCATGCCAATCTTGCCCAAGCTCTTTTCAAAATCCTAGTACTCATGTAGAATGCCCAAGTTGTAACCACCATAACACTAGGACAGTTTCCTGGGGCCACTGAAAATCCTGGTTTTATAAGCAGGTTGGTAGGTTCTTTCTACAGCAAGTATGGTTGATGTCCTACCTCATGTTTCACAGGCAGGAAATACTTATGTAAGAGGCTCAGATAAATCAAATATGGAGTACCACCATGGAATATAATAGTTACCAGAAAATGGCAGAGCAGGTGTGTTGAGTTAGAAAACATATCCAGAGTCTAGTGAAGTGGTCTACAAAGTAGAAGTGGGGCTTGATCCCATAGGGACCTGTGGCCTGACCTCGAGTGAGTGTAAGATGAACTAATCAGAGGTTGGAAGATGGGCTCTATCCCACTGTCCCTGACAGGCAATGCTGGGGCTTGTTTCCAACATAATTATATCTGCCATTATTTGTCAGCACTCCCCCCTCTTCTACCCTCCCTTGACTGTGCAGACAATCTAACTTCTACCAGGGCACCACCAGCAGCTGCTGCCAAGGACCCCTCCCACCCTAGAATACCTACCTCCTGTCCCTTACACCCCCTGGAGTGGTCACCATTTGGAAGACAGGCTCTGTGAGCTGGAGCAGTGACCTGTGAGGAAGAATGCCCACTGTCCTCTTTTCATTTTTGGTGGGACAAAGTGAATTGTATAGGATGAGCAAGCATGGATAGGCTGTGATCTGCATCTTAGATTTGATTACATGATCTTTTCCCACACAGGACTATCTGCCATAGTTTTCTGTTTCTGTCAAGGACACTACCATCCTTCCAGTCTCAAGGGGTCATAACTTTGTAGTAATTTTCATCTCTTCATTCTCATTCATTCCACATACAATTATAGCTATTTTGCTATTTGCAAATAATATTTCATTTGATCCTCACAACCCTAGGAGGTAGGGCCTGTTATAATCCACATTTTGTAGATGAATAAACTGAGGCAAAAGTTAAGTGACTTGCTTAGGGTTAAATAGCTAATAAGGATCTGAGGCAGGATTCAAACTCAAGTCTATGCAGACTCCAAGTCCAGGACTCTATGCACTGTACCACCTAGCTGCCTACCATATATAATTAGTTGCCAAATCCTGTGGTTTCTACCTCTACAGCATTTCTTATATCTGACCCCCATCTCTGCTCATATAGCCACTACCCTAGTTTAGACTCTCATTGCCTTTTGCCTGGATTACTGCAATGTCCTTCTAGTTACAGAATATCTATGCATGCTCTGAAGTCTCTCCCAGGCACTTTCATTACATGTCAGCAGAACTTTCCCAGAAGCAGGCATCCCAGCATCTTCCATATGGAGAATTGCATCAGCTGAGAACTCTGATGAGTATACTACATTGACTTATAAGGATTGGGCTTATTAACCAGTCCTCCATTACATTCATATTAGTGGTGCATTCTTAAAAACATATTACTAGTAGGGGTGTGTAATCAAAAAAGATTGGAGAGTATTGGTCTAGACCAGAGGGAGCTTCCAACAAATGAGCCTTATGGATCTCAAAGAGGCCCATAAACTCTAGATATTTCTGGACTGTCTTATCCAGACCAAATGAAAGGAAGTGATGTTAAATAGACT